ATGAAATGTATTTAAAGCACTGGATATAGGGCCTGACTCATAGTCTCTGCTTAGTAAATATTAATTACTGTCATAATTGTTATTATTAATATTTTGGGCCTTCATTTCTTCTATGGAGATCATCTGCATATTGTTCTAAATATTCCCTAAAGACATTTTCTGTTAGTTAATTCAGTTGGTCACTCAGCACATATTTTGTGTGCTGGAGTAACAGTAAATGAACTGAAGTTCACTTAGTGCCAGCTGCACATCTAGGCTCCCCTCCCTCAGTCACTTTAGGCAGTTTGCGTTGGCGTTTATCGCTCCACATCCTGCGCGGAGTTTCAGAGTGACACCGCTGTTCAAAACAACTTCCCACTGCTCCATCTCCGATGGCTCCACAATTAATTTTTCAACTAGCAGTTTGGTTTCAATGCCTACAAAGTAATTAGACCTCAAGGTCTCTTTACCAGGATTTTTATCCTGTCAGTGAATGTGAAAGAAACAATAACTATTATTTAATATTTATTGTCTTCATTGTGATATGTAGACTCATGGAGGTAACCTACCTGCCTTACTGTTGAAGATGACGGCACATTACAATCAAGTGTGAAAACATTTGGACAGTTTTAGAAGCCCAAAACAGGAGGCCTGAGTTCTCCAATCCTGCCATTTGTCATGCTGCTCTATCAAACAGCATGTTTAGAGGATGGAAAGGGTCCTACTTTATTATCCCTAAGCGTATCTCCTACAGTTTGATTCCAAAGTGGTAAATTCCAAAGAGGACATCCAATGACGTCATCTAAGCAGAGGGAACTCTTTGGGAAGTTATGTTTTCCACTGTTGTCAAGAGAACAATGGAATGGACACAACCACTGATGCCATGGGATGAAGAGTTGGGAACTTTTGACTTTATCCTTCACCCCCAGAATCTACTTCAGGTTGCCCAGACTAAGATGCAGTGCTGCCCACCAGAGTGGCAGGTGGACAATGTCATCTATTGGCTCTTAAGAATGTCCTCCTTACAGGTGGGGGCTGCTGTGGCCCAGTGACCACCCTCATCAGACGAATGACCTTCAGCAAGTTGATTTATCACTCCCAGCCTCAGTTTCCCCATTAACAAATGAAAATAACAATAGCTGCCTCGTGGGATTGTTTTGCAGATTAAATAAAATAAATACACAGCCTATGGTAGCTGCTGGAGTTATAATAGAAAAGACACAGAGCCCACAGTTCTTGTTTTTCGGTGGCTGACAGAATAGCATGATATAAACATATGAAATAAACTTGGAAAGAATACATATCAACACCCAAATAATGTAAAATATTTAAAAATAAAAGATTAAATAAAGGCTCAAAGTATCAGAGTGACTCATGGACACGATTTGCTCTTATGAGTAACTATAGATAGATTGTAAACTCCTATATAACAGAGGCTGTGTCCATTCATCATTGTATCCCCAGCATTTTCTAGCAAATAACCCTGTACAGTTTAATACTCATCATGTATATGTTGAGCTGAACTGGAGTTCTTTGTAAATTCAATAGAATCCTACGAAAAATAATCACTGAAACAATTAGAGGGTACACAGATGGGAGATATGAGGGCCACTCAATTCAGTAAAGTACTGACATCAACATCACAAAAACAAAAACAGAAACTCTTTAAAAGAATAGAATATTAGGTGGCAATGAAAAGTAAAGAAGGAAATGCTGAAACATATGGATGAATCTTAAAAACATGCTAAGTGAAAGAAGCCAGTCAAAAAAGACCACATCCTGAATGAATCCACTTATATAAAATGTCCAAAAACATGAAAATTCATAGAGACAGGAAGCAGATTAGTGGTAGTCTATGGCTAAAGGGGTTTGGAGGGAAATAGGAGTGGGAGTGATGCCAGTGGGTACAGGGTTTCTTTTTTGGGCTGACAAAATGTTTTAAAATTGAATGTAATGATGGTTGTACAATCTTGTGAATATACCCCAAACCATTAAGTTGTACACTTTGGTTGAATTGCTTGGTATGTAAACTATATCTCAATAAAGCTGTCAATAAATTAAAAAAAAAAAGGGCAAACATACAGAGATAGCTTTGGAATACTGGAAATATATGTTTATGCCCAAAGATTGTTCAACTATGTGTATTAGGAACTAAAAGTTTACTGACAACAAAGTTTACAGACTTTTCAAGAGTACATAAAATATGAAACTCATATTTTTGTTTAAAATACATATAAAGCTCAGATGCACACTATACATATTCTTTTCTATATATAATATATAGATATATGATCAGCTTATTGAGGTATAATTTATATATAAGATATTATAAACTCACTCACTTTGTGTATGCATATTTTTTACAATAAAATCTAGAAATATTTCATAACAAGAGTTAGAAGCATATACATCAATATGTATATCCTGATGGAATTGTAAGTCATTTTAATATTCTACTTTCTTGTATATCTGTTTTCTAAAATTTCTACAATTAACATAGTAGTGGGTTGTCGGAAAAGTCATGAAGTATTTTTTGTTTTTCGTTGCAAAAATGCGTCATGAGTTTTCCGACAACCCAATATTTTAGAAAGAGGTAAGTGTTATTAAAATGTATAACAGACACAAAATGTGGTAAGGGACGTAGAGTAAAGGTGAGTCAGGTAATCGGGGCAGATATCTTCGAGGGGAAAGGAGGGTGTGTGGCCATTGGCAAAGGCTTCCTGGATGGGAAAGAAACATCACATGTGGAGGATGGCAAGTGGCCAATGTAATGGGCTTGAAGAGGAATGCACCTGGTGAAATGGTCACAGGCATTTGGAGGAAGGCCTTGAAAACTTTGGGAAGGCTCCGAGGCTGATATAATTGGTTCTGAGAGGTAAAGTGACTAGAAGATTATCCTAGCCACACTACATCCTGGTCCTAGTAATTGAGGGTAAATGGAAGGAAATCCACAGGAGACAGACTTTCTGGGGCTCAGGAAAAGGAGTGGGGTGGCTCCTTCTGAGCAAAGGTTTCCAATTTGCCTGGTTGTACCAGTGATTTTGGAAGCTACGGCAGTCAAAGGGACCATGCCCTTGGTCTTTATACTCTTTCTGGCATTGTCCCCAACACAATGGGCCTATATGATCAAGAAGAGAATAGGAGCCAGCAGCAATACACAAGACAGGCTGAAGGGAAATGCTAAAATCTAGGAGATCAGCCAAGAGTCCTGGAGTAGTGCAGGCCCAGCAGGAATGGCAAATAGCTTTCAATTTATGTCCCCAGTTGGATCCACTGCAGGTGGCTCACAGGGCACTGTGTTGAGAATGATACAGAGGCTGCCTCCTAACTCAGGGTAAAAGGATCTTGTGATTGATTGGTAATGTCTGTCATGGGCATAGGCATGAGGAGTGATGGCTCCCATGCCACATAATTTTCCAGCCCTGGAAAAGGGGCGCTTCTTGGGTTCAGCCTAGCCTCATTCTGCAAGTCCTCAAGCAATCAAAATGCTTTTAGGTCTGCCTCAAGTGTTGTGGTCTGACAAAGTAGACTTGGAGGTCTAATCTGAATTCCTTTAAATTCCCATGAAAATATCCCAGTCCCCTTGAGCTCCTTGAATTCAATCCAGGGAGAATTCCCTTGATAACACTGGCCTTGCCAGAGGGCCTACCCAAAGAAATGTAAACTTTCTCTTCCCAGCATTATGCAAGTTAATAGACTGAAGAATGTGAAAATGGAAAGGATGGGTGAGAAGGGGGCTGAGACTTGTTAGTTACTGAGAAGCCCCTCTGTGAGTGATGGATGCAGGCTGCTACCTCTGAGAGAAAGCCTTCTCACTCCAGTGGAATATTTTTAGTATATCCTGGGCACCAAATAACTGTTCATATGTTCTGAGTGATGATGAATTCATTCAAACAACAAGTCAAGACCCTGGATATCACTCAACTCCAGTCAGTCATAACAGCTGACAAATATAAAATATAACACACAGCCCGTCTTGCTTTCCTTTTCTTCAATATGCATATTCAAGAATCTCATTCCATTCCTGGCTGTCAGAGATGGTGACCATTGTGGAGGGTTTTCTAGCTTTATCAAGGGAGATTATTTTTTCAACCCAAATTATTTTCCATTGTAAATGTTTAAATCCATATTAAGTCCAGATTAATGCAGGAAGCAGCTTCAAAGGATATCGACTGGAGGGAAACATAATAATAAATGAAATTGTTAAGGATGGGACCCATCTATCTTTAGGAATATTTTCAGACTAGTAAAGAAAGTTTTTTGGATTTAAAAGCTATCTAAAGAAAATATGTTTCTTTGTGATTGCTTGGCCCCTTTCACAAACACCCAAACTTTGTATACAAACTAGGGCCTGGGGCACTTCCTTTTTTCATGATTGGAATTAATAATGCAGATAAACCCTAAATAAATCGGGATTAGTGTTACCTGCATCTTGAGGTTTAGGACGCTCTAGGAAAATGAAAAGAGAGGGAAAAAAATTGGGTTCTTTAAAAAAAACAAAAACAAACAAACAAAAAAACAACCAACAGGCCTGGGCTTACTGGGTGAGGTGAAGGGGGTTGGGGGAGGGGTGAAGAGAAATACTGAGAAGGGAGGACCAGCTGAGCTGAGTAATCAAAGACTTTCTAATCGCCGCAGCTCTGGAGACGTGTTCAAAGGCTCTCTCCTGACCACAGGCTGTGCAAGGTCACAAGTGAGACGCAGTTGCTTGGGAGGGGGAGGGGTGTCTGGGATTTTTGGATGGCTCTGCTCTCAGGCTTTGTTAGGAGGAGGGCAGCTGGGTTGTCAGGTTTTCGCATCTTTTCAGGAAGCAGGTTCAGCTTGCTGGTTGTTAGGGAGCAATCACTCCCCCTTACCCCCACCACCGCACTTGCCAAACCAGCAGAGAGAAGGGAAATTCAAGGCTGAAGACTCCTACCGTCCGAGGGTGGAGAACAGTCACCACGACCATGTGTCCCACTGCTCGGAACTCGGGAGTAGGAACCAATTTTTAGACAAATCATTGCACCTAGGGATGGATTTTAACGAAGCCGTTTAGATTCTTTGATGTTTCTTGATTGGGGTCACAGAAAATGACCCATTTAATCCAGGCTCTGATCTCTTCTGTCCCTCACATGGGCCCTGAAGGCTGCAGATGTGGAAGACTGAGTGCTTTCCCGCTGGCCACTAGTACGAGCTTAATTCCTGTGAGTATCTCTTAATTCCTGGTAAAGAAACGAGTATTCTTAACCCCAAATCCCATGTTTGCGGAGATTTCAGCTGTCAATGTAAAGCTGGAGTTGAGACTGTCATTGCGAAGAGTGGACGCCTTCTCCCCTGCTCCCCGCCCAGGTTTACTCAGTCATGGACTAGCTTTCTCACTTCCCTTTGGTGCTGCTGAGCTGCCGCCAGTTGGATCTGGTGTCCACGTGACAGGGCTCCTCACAGTGCCTGCTTCAGCTGGCCTCTCGTTGGGAAGTGCACAGATCTCACTTTTGTCCTAATTTTCAAACCACCAGGCTGGTTTGAGGTTTTTCAGAATTTTGGGAGTTTTGAGAGATCACATCTCCCATCTGTTTCCTGTTCCGTTTTTCGGCACTTCCTCTTCTCTGTCCTGCACCACTGACTGGGCACACGCAGCCACTGGGCAGTCTTTCTCTCTGCCTGTGAGATAACAAGAGTCTGTGCTGACAATGTTATTATCCTCCTACATTTGCTATTCGACCTCCCCCAAGATGCACTAAAATGGAAAGAAAGTAATGACGGTGGGTCTTTTCTCAGCCCTGGATGTAATTCTTACGTAATCTCTGTGGCCATTTGTGGTGGCTCTGCCGCAGGTTAAGTACAGAAAAAGCAACACACATGTTAGGGACTCTTGATAGTTACCATGGTAATGTGAGATTCTGGTAAAAAGAAATATGTTCTGGGGAAAAAAGCGTAACTAGATACAAAAATGCTCACCCTTTAGAAAAGCTCACATTACTGAACATGGGTGAAGAATGGGAAGATGTGTGTAGGAAAGGCCATTAAAAAAAAACTAACTAAAAGATTGTGGAAATGAAGAAGCATGAATGGAATTCCAGCATGGAGATAAAGAAGGATTTTTTTTTTTCATTTGGCACATATAACCCTTAAAAGCGGTTCCCTTTGCTCTGAAGCCAAAGCAGCACATGTTAAGGGTAAGCGTCCCTTAGGGCTTTGGGTTTTCATTGTCAGGAGGAAGGATGCTGTTCTTACACGAAACTGGGAGCATCTCCCAGATACAAGGACTCTTGGTTCCAAAAAGGAAGCTGGGTGAAAATACAGTCCTTACCCCAATGCCTCAGCTTTCTCTGTAAACAGATCTGCCAGTGGGGACAAACTGCAGCCTATTTCAAGTGGATGCTAATGACATAATGGTATACACACCTATTTTAGATCTATGTGGTTATATAAAGTATATTCATATTCATACACACACACACCACATACAACTAGATAAAACTTTCATTTATGCTTATGCAAAAGTCAGGTTCGTTAGAAAAACTACTTGATAAGTAGGTGGGTAGTTCCCATTTAAATAAGTGATTTCAAGTACTAAAAGGAAACTGGTTTTTTGTTTTCTTTTCAAAAGATAATCATTAGGGACAATGGACTAGGTTGCAAAGCAAACTGAGATGGATTTTTCAGAGGACCGCTGCCCTGAATCCACCATTATTTCAAGAAGGTATCTCACAAATAGGTAGGGCTCCCTGGAAGGCAGACTTTGCTCCCAGTCCCACCTTCTCAGCAGCCATGTTTCCAAAGTATGGCCAGATGTGCTTGACTCTGAAGTCCAGCCTCTCACAGGAAGGAGAACAAGTCATGAGTGGGATTATTTAAAAGCCTCAAAGGTGCTGTCCCCACAAGCTCAGTTCTCTTTCCTCACCCAACAGATGGTGTGGAGTAGCTCCCAGTGTGTTTGGGTCGATGGTGACTGTTAAGTCCCGGATTTTCCACGGTGATACTGACTTAGAATGCCCTTTGCTATTGTCAAAGCTTGCATCGGCTTAGCTCTCAGACACGCGGTTTTGTGCTGGGAACTACGATCTCTATGGACAGCTCACACATCAGGACTCATCACAGGTTAACTTCATTCTTGATTGATGAAAAATGTGGAGAATTTAGGGATGTTTGGTAAAGAAGCAGCCAGTCAACAACAGAAATTTGATCAGGAAAAGACAACAATTATGTCACTTTCCTGCTCCTGCTTAAAAAAAGGAGTCAGTTGGCCATCTCTTAGCAGTAGTTCATTATTTCCAATTTTACATAATTGAAGACGAAAAAGTTCTTGAAGTTTGAACAGTGGTAATTAAATGTGAATTGGATGGGATATTTGTAATTTTAAATGCTTGGATTCTGAGAGGAAAAAACTGTGTAACGTTGTTGGCTACATGACCCTAGTAATTAAGATTCCTATGGCATTATTTAGTTAGTTGGCTTTTTATAACACCATGAGGTTTGCTGTGGGGTGCAGAGGGAGCCACCGGCCTCCCAAGCAGGAGAAGTGTTCTAGAGAAGAGCTCTGAGTGAGAGAAGCAATTCCTTAAATGTCTACTAAGAGTTTGCGTTAGCATTTCTGGACTCCTTGAGATCACGGCCCTGAGACCAGTTGAGGAAAACGAACAGAAATAACTATTTTCATGAGGCTAATGGAAACCACGTTCAGATCCAGGAAAAGAAAAATGAGACAGGAAAGGGAGGGTCACATTTTTGAAGGAAATCATGTGGTATTTTGGTAATCCTTTGTTGATGAAAAAAATTAACAGCACATTAATTATGTCCTAAGAGTGGGTGTTGCTGCCCTGCATCTTCGGTCTTTCCAGGGCTGGCCCGGCCGTACAGGCATCGACCAGCTTGTGGAATGAAAACCTGGGCAGCTGCTCTAAACTTCACTGGCCATACACTGCCGAGCACCTCTGCAGAGGCTGAAATCTGACCTCTGTGGGAGTTCAGGAGATAGGAGGCTATTTTACAAGTAATGACATCAAAAAGTTCGGGATCTTTATAAGATTGGTAGTGTCCTGTCAATGCAGAGTAATAAAATTGGATGTGCTAAGAAAGATATTTTTCCCTTCCCTCCTTCTCTCTCTCTTTCTCCTCTCTCTCTCTCTCTCTCTCTCTCTCTCTCTCTCTCTCTGTCTCTCTGTCTCTCTGTCTCTCTCTCTCTCTCCCCCCTCTCCCCTTCTCCTTCCCTCCCTCCTTCTCTCCCCTTTCCCACCCCTGCTGCTCCTTTTAAAAACTTTATTGTCAGCAATATATATTTATGAATTTCTTTAACAATAGTTCAAATATTCACATTCAGACACGTATAGTGTGAGCCCAATATTGACCCTCTCCTTCCAGATCCTTTAAGCAGAATGAAGTGGGTAACTGCCACTTCCTTTAGAGGTGCGTGATGTATTAAACATACATTGCTGTGGTAGTAAAAATGGTCACACATATTGTCCCTTCTTTTATCTATGCTCTTGAGCAGTGCCTTCACAGATTGTTGTCTGGCTGTGTGACTTTCTTTGACCAATGGGACAACAGCAAATGTGACACAATGCAAAAATGCTTATGCATCGGGGCTGGTTCTCTTGTTGCCCTTTGAAACCCTGAGGCCACCATGTGAAGACCCCCAGGCTCACCTGTTGAAGGGTGAGAGGATCATTTCAGCTGCCATTGAGCCTACCGCCATCCATGAGCGTGAGCCCATTCCTGTTTATCCATTTCAGTCACGCCAGCTCAGACCAGGTGCCCAGAGTCACAGTGATTTATTGAATTAATCCTTTTACAGCACTGATCTCAGCGTGCCACTCTCCTGTTCAAAAGTCCTCAGTGTGTCCCCACACTCTATAGGTAAAGTCTCAGCCTACCCACAGAATTGTGTCATAACTTACTAATTTAAGCTATTTTGTATTGGGATAGTTTGTTACATGGCAAAAGCTGTGTAACGAACAATAACCTAACTTGTTATTTTTCTCCTTTAAGTTCTATTATTAGGGGCATTGTTCCTTAAACGTAAGGCATTGTTTGGATGTATGATTACTGACTACTACACAATGACAACTCTCTCTTTCTGGTTAACAGTCGTATCAACTTTTCCATGGTAGTCATTGTGGTCATTTGTAAAGGTTGCTTCTAATATGTTTGTGGGCCAGTTTCAGGGGAATCAATGTTTCTCATTCTAGCTCTCATGAGCTCGGCCCTAATGATGAGAATTCCAAACAGGGCTTGGCAGACATGGTTTTCCACCCCCTTCCCTTCCTTGCCCCACAGTCATTTTTTCTAATCTCTGAAGCTGATTAAATCCTTTTTTCAATCTTCACGTCCCTTATTACGCCTATCATAATCTCACTCCCTAATGGCCTCTTTTCAAGTTGGCATCTTTCTTATCATGAGTGTAAGAAAGAAAGGCTATTAGTATTGCTTTTCTTTTTTAAGTAAAATAGGAATTGTGTCATGGCATGCTTATTCTTTTTTGGGGAAGGCTGCTGTGGGGGGCTATTCCTAGACCCTCCAAATGGCTCTCTTATCTCTAGCCTCCTCTTGTTCCAGTCTGTTCTGGGTTCTGCTTCTAGCGTGCTATTCCTCCATTATGCATGTGTCATCTCATTCCCAAAATGCTCACAGTGACTTATTATCAAATTAATCCTTTTACAGCACTGATCTCAGTGTGCCATTGTCCTGTTCAAAAGCCCTCAGTGGGTCCCTACACTCTGTAGGTCCCAGTCCCTTGGCCAACCATTTGGGGCCTTCCAGAATTTGGCTTCACTTTGCTTTACCAACTGGGCCTCTTTTTATTCCTCACGTAAACGCACAATAGCCAGCTGCTCTGAGACAGATCTCCCTTTTTGTCTGCTCCAGATTCTTCTACTTCCTTTTTTACAATCAGTTACTTTATAAAGTTCGGCCTAAGTGATCTCTCTCCTCCCTAAAGTTCTCCAACCACCTGGTCCCAAAGAGCAGCTTTGCTTTTCTGAATCCCTACAGCCCTGAGTGTGTCAGTCACTTATTTGTCATTGATCATATCCAGTACGCAGTCAATTGTCATGCTTTGTCTCTCAAGTCTTCCAGACTTGATTATGTGCTCCTTGGAAGAGAGGCTGTATGTCATAGTATCACCTATGTGCTTAGATGGTGCGGGTTTAAGGTTGGTGCACAATAAACATCTGGCAATGCATTGGGTTCCAAACTTTGAGAGTAT